TCAGCAATGAGGTATATATAGCACTTTTTCTAGGATGAGTTCGCGAACTTAATTGTTCGTCCTCATATATATATGGCCTCCTACTTTCCGGTATTTGTCTTTTCTGATCACCTCCACAACTTTTTCAAAACATTGTATCTCTTTTCTTTCTTTTGCCCCTGTTGTTCCTGTCCTGCTCAGTTTGACTTCTACTCATAGCAGCTTCTCCTCTGTGCAAATCTCTGCCCTGGAGGAGAGCACTGGTTTACTCATTTTGAGAGTTCTCAAGACCCAGAGCTCATCCAACCTTCCCTTGGTCCCCTTTTACTCATCTATAGCTGGAGGCTGCAAAACTCAGTCTGTAAAAGTCATCTGAGAAAATGTGTTCAGATTGATTGATCTTCCAGGCTTCCCTGTGAAAACCTTTGGGGATGGGAGTTCTCCAGGCTCCTTGCCTCCCTCCCCTCCCTCCACACAATTGCTGAAAACATTACAACTTTTTTTTTTTTTTAAGATTTTACTGGGGAATTGGGGACGGTAACAGTGTTGAGGAATTGGGAAAGGGAGCCAGCCAAGTTGTTGTTCTTCAATCTTCATTGCGGAGTGCGCCAGTTGCCATCTGGCTTCCCGTTGGCAGCTCGTGACCTCTAAGATCAAGGTGCCGAGTTCAGTCTTAGTTGGAGGTGGGCGTAGCCTACCATTGGACAGGCAATCTTGTTGTTACACCAGCTGTTGGCAGTTCAGCGACAGCTCAGCTCGGGCACAGCGTCTCTGGCCCATGTGGGAATCGAACTGGCAGCCCTGTTGCTCAGAGCTCGTGCTCTTAAGCCAAGTCTTAACTAACTGAGCCACTCAGCCGGCCCACAACTTTTGATGTATGGCAATATCATTACACTAGGTTCAAAATATTTTCTAATTTCCGTGGTAATGTCTTCCTTCTTTCATAGGATACTTAGTAGTGTTTTTCCTGATTTCCAAATATTTGGGGATTTTCTAATTAGTTTCTCTGTTTTCAGTTCTTTTAAACTTGTTGAGACTTGCTTTAAGGTCCAGTAAATGATCAATTTTTATAAATATTTAGTGTGTTCTGAAACAGAATGTGTATTCAACAGCATGATTGTTGAGCACTGTGCTCTATATATGTTGGTTCAGTGAATTTACTATAATGGTCTCATTCAAATCTTCTGAAGTCCCACTGATTTTTTTCCCCCTGTTTATTCTATCACTTAGTTACTGAGAGGGGTGTGTTAAAGTCTCCCACTATTTCTTCTTTTCATTCTGCCAATTTTTGCTTCATGTATTTTTTAAACTGTAAGTGTACACACATTTAGGTTTTCACATCTTTCTGTTGAATTGAGCTTTTACAATTATAATTTATAATAATACTTTTCTTTTTAAAGTCTACTTTGTCTAAAATTAGTATAGTTATGGGCCAGATGAGTGGCGCGTTGGTTAGGAGTTGGCTTGGGACGCCAGCTCTGAGCAGCAGAGCCGTGGTTCAGATCCCACATGAGGGCCAGTGATGCTGCGCCCTCTACAGCTAAGATGGTGAACAACAGCTCGACCAGGAGCTGGGCTGCCGTGACTCGCCGTTAATGGCGTAGGCTGCAGTGGGGCTGGCCGGCAGCAGGTGTGAGCTTTTGTGAGCTGCCGTGAGCCACCGTGAGCAGCCGTCCAATGGCTGGCAAGCGACTGCCTTGCCTGGGAAGTGCACAATGATAATACCAACATGGGCCAGTGAAGCAACATCCTCCACAACTAGATTGAAGAACAAAACGACAGCAACTTGTCTGTTCCCCTTCCCCAATTCCCCAATAAAATCTTCAAAAATAATAAAAATAAAAATAAAATAAAATAAAATTAGTATAGTTATATGAGCTTTCTTGATTAGTGTTTGCAAGCTATATTTTCTGTCATTTTTATCCTCTATGTCTCTTAAGCTATTTTCTGAATGCTCTATCCTTTTTGCTCTCTCTTTAAATTTGGGTATTTGTATTGAATAAATCTTTTTTTTTAATCTATGTTTAATCTGTTGTTAATCTACTGTTACCACTGAGCTCCTAATTCCATGTTTTTGTTTTTGTTTTTGTTTTTAATTGGGGAATTGGGGAGGGGAACAGCGTTGGGGAATCGGGGAAGGGGAACAGACAAAGTTGCTGTCCTTTTGTTCTTCAGTCTAGTTGTGGAGGACTTTGCTTCACTGGCCCATGTTGGTATTATCATTGTGCTCTTCCCGGGTGAGGCAGATCGGTCGCCAGCTTCTGGACGGCTGCTCACGGCAGCTCTTGGCAGCTCACACCGGCTGCCTGCCTCTCACACTGGTTGCCGGCCACACACAGTAGCTTATGGCAGCCCACTGCAGCAGGAGCTGCAGCCTACGCCGTCGCCAGCCACTCACGGCAGCCCAGCTCCAGGTCGAGCTGTTGTTCACCATCTTAGCTGTAGAGGGCAGTGTCACTGGCCCTCATGTGGGATCCAAATTGGGGCCCTGCTGCTCAGAGCTTGAGTTCCAAGCCAGCTCTTAACCAACATGCCACTCTGCCGGCCCCTAATTCTATGTTTTATAGTTGCCAGTTCTGTTGAAATTCTTTATCTTGTCTTTTATATCTTTGAATGTAGTTATTTAAAGTCTGTGGTCTGACAATTTCATAATTTGAAGATCTTATGGGTCTTGTCCTTCATTATCTGTGCCTTTTCTTGGGCTTTGTTTGTGCCATCTTACTGCTAATTTACATTTTAACAGATTATCGTTTGCTTGGTTATTTTTAATTTAGCACTGGAAAGTATATATAAAAATTGTTTAAAATAATTTTTAGAAATAATTTGAAGTCTAAGATACCAACATTGTGGGATCACAATTTAATCACATTAATCCAATTGAGTGGACTGAGATAATGTGCTTGTATGGGCTGATCTATTTCTAGTTCACTGTTATTCCCAGAGTCAGGACCCCTTTCCAAGCATGGTTAGCCAGTATGCCCAGCTCCCGGACACACAGAGTTGTCAAAAACACTTGGTCTCTCAGCCACCTCTTCCAGGACTGACAATCATCTTGAAAAAAAAACAGCTCCAACTGCCACACTCACCTCTCTCCCTAGTCCTATATTTCTTCCTTGCCTCTGATACCTGTAATCAGATGTTTTCTATTTGTTTCACGTTTCGTTGTCTTCAGGAAGTTTCATCTGAATTATTTAGTCTCCCATTATGGTCTGTATGATTTACATTATAACAGATTCTTCTGTTAAAACATAAGGGAGCAAGGCTGATGCAGGTTCCAGGTGGGAGACCATTGCAATAACCCAGGTGAGAGATGCTGGTGGCTTGGACCAGGGCGGTGGTAGTGATGGAGGTGATAAGAAGAAATCAGAATCTGGGTATATTCTGAAGGTATAACTAACTAACTAGCAGGATTTTGCTGGTGGAATTAAATATGAGGATGAAAGAAATTGACCAACCAAGGATGACTCCAAGGTTTATGGCCTGAGCAAAGGGGTAAATGATTGTGTCTTTTTCTAAGACAGTGAAGACTAGGAACCATTTAGAGGGCAGATGTGGGAGGGAAGTAAAAAGTTCAGTTTAGGTCATCTTAAGAATGAAATGCCTCTTAGACACTTAGGGGAGGTATCTTGTGGATGGCTGGAGATAAAGTGTCTGGAATTTAGGGGAGAGAACTGGGCTAGAGATAAAATTTGGGAACCATTAGCATAGAGGATGCATTTCAAGCTCTGAGCCTGAATAAGCTCACTCTGGAGAGGGTAAAGATGCACAAGGACCAAGGACTGAGCCCAGGGCCTCTGACATCATGAGGTCAGGGTGGTAGGAGGAAACCTGGAGCATAGAGGGTGGAGCACAGCTCCTGGAAGCCTAATGCAGAAAGCACTCCAGGAGGAGGGAACAATGAATGGGTCAAGAGAGATGAGGCCTTTGTTTGTGATGGGAATTAAAATTTGTTTTTCCTCGGTTTGTCTTTTGACCTCATGGTATTTTATTCTTATTCTTTTATTCTTGTGTTTCTCTGTGCCTGAGTGTAACGCTCTTAGTTCTCTCATGTTTCTGGTTCACGTCCTCTTTCTCATTCCAAGATAATGTATGTCCATGTGGTACTTGTGTGTGCCCATATGTTGGCCCAGAGCAGGGACACATGGCTCAGGGAAAGGTGTGAGTCCAGGAGGGAGTGGCTGAGCCAAGGTGCTGGAGCTGAGGGAGGTGCTAGGGTCAGAGGTCCCACAGGATGGGAGAAGGGGGCCCAAGTCCTTTCCATCTTTGAGCCTTGGTTTCCTCATCTGTAACTGAGGCTTAAATACTGGCTTTCCAGAAGTGCTGGGGGGGACTTCCTAAGTGTGAAGGAAGAGACAGAACCCGGTGAGCTATGCAGGGCTGTGCCCCAGAGACAGGGTCATTTCCTCAACACAGGCCAGTCTGATCAGCACCTTGGACCTGAAGGGCCCACGCCTTGTTGCCCATGGATAGGTGGGGAAACTGAGGCCAGAGGGCATTCCCATAGACACTAGGGCCCTGAGAGGGGCTGTGGGACCCATCAATGCAAGTGCTAAGACCTGATAGTAAGGCAGGCTCCTGGGATCACTTGAAAAAAATCCAATCTTAAAGGTGTTGGAGCTCATGTGTCCCCAATGAGATGGGGAGTGGTGGCTGCCTGGGCTGGGCTCCTGGGGCCGCTGGGAGGGAGAGTGGGGCTGGCCCAAGCCTATTACAAATAAGTCATTGCTGCTGGGAGGATCTAGGGAATAATGGCAGCAGAAACACTTTGCCAACTGAGCAGAACCTTATATATGGTAAGAGACAGTGTAAATGGCATCACAATCTGCATCTGTAGAGTGCTGTGGACCTGTGAGTGGCTGGACTTGAGGCGGCAGCCCAGTCTGGTCTCAGGCAGTTTGGTGGCAACAGATGGGCCACCCACCTGTCACCATTCCCCAGTGAATGCCAGCCAGCTAAGCAAGCCCAGGTAGGGAGGCTGGGGCAGGAGAGCCAGGATCCTTATTCTGTGCCGTGTTTTCCAGAGCCATCCTCCAGCAGCAGGGCTCTCCCGTGGATGCCGCCATTGCAGCTCTGGTCTGCACCAACGTCGTCAACCCCCAGAGCATGGGCTTGGGCGGAGGCGTCATCTTCACCATCTACAATGCAACCACGGGTGAGTCCATACGGGACCCCCATGGGGAGGATGGACTTGTCCACAAGCACTGATGGTGAGGTGCTTGTAACATCCTGGATGTCTGGCCAAGACTATTGTGTCCTCCCATGTCCCTTCTTGGGTCCTCTTGGTGTCGCCTGCCTCCCCACCCCCCTACTCTCATCTGTGCAAAACCTTCATGGCAGGTCCTATCCTGAGTATTAGCACAGAGGCCAATTTATGACACAGAGAGAGAAACAGAGGCCCAGAGCAGGTCCAGGGATGTCTGAGGGAGACCATGGTGTGGGCTGAGACCAGGCAGTCATAGGAGTGCCCCGACCACTCACATGCCCTGCTCTGACTCCAGAGAAGGTGGAAGTCATCAACGCCAGGGAGACGGTGCCCACCAGACATGTCCAGGGTCTGCTGGATCAGTGTGAGCAGGCCCGGCCGCTGGGCAGAGGTGAGACCCCGGGAGGGGCCTCTGGGGCTGACCAGAATACCCCCTGAAGGGACAGTGTGCCTCATGGACAAGCTGAAACATCTGGCACTGGGGGACAGTAGCTGGGGGATGGGGAACCCCACAGAGGTCCCAAACCACTGGGGTTGGAGGAGTTTTCCTGGGGAAGAGACTCTCTGAATAGGGAGGGGTGATCCAAGCAGAGGGACAAAGCCAGACAAAGGCCAGGGTGTTCAGTGGAGATGGGTCATGGGGATAGGGGGTCCCGGGGCCAGTTTGTGCTGGGCCCCATGGGCCTGGATGTAGACTTTGTACAGAGGGCAGTGGGCAGCCATGGGGGGTTTGAGTGAGGAGGGATGTAGTCAGGTGTGGGCTCCAGAAAGCACATTCTGGCTTCCATGGCTGGGGGGCAAGTCTGGTGGGGCCAAGTGTGGGGGTGATAGAAAACCCTGAGGCAGGCCTGGAACCCATGGGGCTGAGGGCAGGTGAGGGCAGCGTGGGGAGAGGAGCATGATACTGCCACACCTTGCAGGGGCCCAGTGGATAGGGGTGCCCGGGGAGCTCCGTGGCTACGCTGAGGCCCACCGCCGCCACGGTCGCCTGCCCTGGGCACAGCTGTTCCAGCCCACCATTGAGCTGCTCCGAGGGGGCTACCGCATGCCCGCTGTCCTCAGTCTGTTCCTGAACAGCAGCTTCCTGAGGCCTCTCTTGCATGCATCCTCCCTGAGGTGAGCACCGCCCGGGGTGGGGGTGGGGGGGTGGGGAGAGGGTGCCAGGGCTCCACCTCAGCTCCTGGGTTCAGGCCACCACCTGTCTGAGCCCAGCCCCCAACCAAGCTCCACCTGAGGCTCTGGAACATTGACCCTGTGTGGGTGTCAGGGGACTTCGCATGGCCATCACTTCACTTTCTAAGTTCAGACCTCTGGGGTCCACGTGGCAAAACCTAAAGGGAAGAGCTCAGGCCAGAGGGAGTTTGTGCCCAAGTGATGACTTCAAGGGTATGGATTTGGGCTCTGCCACTGTCCTCTGGCCCTGCCCTCCTTCTCACTTTCTGGGCTGGCAGGAGGACTTTGGCCACCACCTTTTCCCACCCTACCATCCCAGGAGTGTAGGGAGGACAGGCTCTGGGTGGACACAGGCCCTACTGGGGAGTGTGACCTCCCTGGGCAGGGTTATGAGTGAGGTGAGAGGCGTTAGCCCCACCGAATCCTAGAGAATCTGTCCCCTCAAATGTCTACCCCAGCCCCTCAGGACCCCAGACCAGGACTACTTCCTTGTAGAGAGCCCCTGCAGGAGTGTGGCTGCCCTCTGGGACCTAGGCCCACTCGGAGGTTGCTTCCCCCACCCCCGCCCGCCCCCAGGCAGCTCTTCTTCAATGGGAATGAACCCTTGAAGCAGCAGGACCCATTTTCCTGGCCTGCGTTGGCCGCCACCCTGGAGACCGTGGCCACAGAAGGTGCAGAGGCCTTCTATACAGGGAGGCTGGGCCAGACACTGCTGGAGGACATTGCCAAGGAAGGTGAGCCATGCGGAGGTCCCCAAGCCCTCAGCCCTGCCAGAGAAAGAACTTGGTTCTGGCCACTGGTTTTTGAGGGCAAGCTCTTCCCAGGCCCTGAGGAAGTGCCGGCTGCTCCCAGGGCTTGGAGAAGCTGTGTGCCCTCCTGCCCACTGCTGGCAGGGACCCCACCATCAAGGTCCTTGAGGAGCAGAGCCCCTGTGGGTTAGAGCCAACAGAAGGGAGTTATCGGTGACCATGGTGGGCCATGGGGGCTCCTGGGCCTGAAGCTGGCCACTCTCACAGTCTCCCGGAGGTCAGCTCGCCTCTCCTACCTTTCCCTACTCCCCCCTAACCTCTATTCCTCTGAGCCCTGTTCACTTGCCCACCCACGCCTCCCTCACAGATCCACCCTCACCCTTTTGGGGATCTAGAATCTAGGGGACCAGGGGAGCCTCACTGTGTGACCAGGGAGGGGCCAGTGGCTGTCACGCTTCTCCTATGTCCCATCTGTACACTGAGCCTTCTCTGTCTCACTTCAGGCAGCCAGCTGACTCTGCAGGACCTGGCATCATTCCAGCCAGAGGTGGTGGACGCTCTGGAGATGCCCCTGGGAGACTACACTCTGTACTCACCTCCACCGCCTGCAGGGGGTGCAATTCTCAGCTTCATCCTCAATGTGCTCAAAGGTGAGGCTCTAGGCCTCCAGCCCAGAGTCCTGCACTGCTGGGAACCTGAACTCCAAGCCCACCTGTACCCTTGGGCGGCCATTGCCTTTTCCAGCTCAGCCCCATCCTCAGATGCTGAAGACAGGGCTGTGAAAATGGGTCAAGATGGTGTGTTCTACAGCTGGCCTAGGGGCTTTGCTGACGGGTCTGACGTTCTCCACCCACTGAGTCCTCCCCCTAGGTGACCTAGTCCCATAACACAGGAGCAGGTAGGCCCTGCAGTTGGTGAGCTGCCCATCCAGTGCAAGCATCATGTGAGGCCTAGCCAGGCTTATCGCAGCCTGCAGGATGGTGAGGGGGACCCTGGCAGTGCCCAGAGCTGGGCTACTCGAGGCTGACTATATTCATTCTCTGGGCCTGCCGTAATAAATTACCACAAATCCGGTGGCTAAAAACAACAGAAATTTATTCTCTCATAGTTCTGGAGGCCAAAAGTTCAAAATCAAGGTGTCAGCCAGGCCACATTTCCTCTAGGGCAGCAGTTCTCAACCTTCCTAATGCTGCGACCCCTTAATACAGTTCCTCATGTTGTGGTGACCCCCAACCATAAAATTATTTTCGTTGCGGGCCGGCCGAGTGGCGCGTTGGTTAAGGGCTGGCTTGGGGTGCCAGAGGGCCCCGGTTCGGATCCCACATATGAGGGCCAGTGACACTGCCCTCTGCAGCTAAGATGCTGAACGGCAGCTCGACCTGGAGCTGGGCTGCTGTGGGTCGCTGGTGACGGCGTAGGCTGCAGCCCCTGCTGCAGTGGGTTGCCATGGGCTACCGTGTATAGCCAGCAGCCAGCGTGAGCGGTCAGCGGCCGCCATGGGCGGCCGTCCAGAGGCCGGCGATTGATCTGCCTCGCCCGGGAAGAGCGCAATGATGGTGTCAACTTGGGCCAGTGAGGCAACGTCCTCCACAACTAGACTGAAGAACAAAAGGACAGCAACTTGTCTGTTCACCTCCCCCAATTCCCCCACAATTAAAAAAAATCTTAAAAAAAAATTATTTTCGTTGCTACTCTATAACTGTAATTTTGCTACTGTTATGAATCGTAATGTAAATATCTTTTTGTTTTCCGATGGTCTTAGGGGACCCCGGTGAAAGGGTCGTTCGACCCCCAAAGGGGTTGCGACCTACAGGTTGAGAACCGCTGCTCTAGGGGCTCAGGGGGAGACTCTGTTCTTTGCCTTTTCCAGCTTCTGGTGGCTGTCGGCATTCCTAGGCTTGTGGCTGCATCACTCCAGTCTCTGCCTCTGTGGTCACACGGCCTCCTTCCCTTTTCTGTGTGTGTTTTATAAGGATACAATGTGATTACATTTAGAGCCCACCGGATAATCCAGGATAATCTGCTCTTCTCAAGATCCTTAACTTAATCACACATTTTGCCATATAAAGTAATATTCACTCTTTTGCATATATGGTAGTGTTCACAGGTTCTGGGGATTAAGACGTGGACAAATCTTTTTTTTTTTTTTGGAGGGGGTTCTAACATTCAACCCACTACACAGGGTGACCTCGACCTGCGCCCACCCATTTTCCAGGGTTCAACGTCTCTGCTGAGTCGGTGGTCAGGACCGAGGGAAGGGTGAACTTGTACCATCACTTTGTGGAAACGCTCAAGTTTGCCGGAGGGCTGAGGTGGAGGCTGTGGGACCCTCGAAGCCACCCTGAGGTCCAGGTGAGGTGGCCTGGGCTGAGCCCAGGGCTCAGCATGAAGGGATGGTTGGAGCAGTGGGTGCTATGTCCGTAGGCCATGGGAGCCCGGCTGGGTGAAGTTGGAGGGGTGCATACAAGGTTGGTTCTAGAACAGGACAGCCTAGTAATGGTCCAGGGCAGGAAGGTTGCATCAGGTCTAGGAACTGGAAGAGACCCTATAGTGGCAGGTATGGGACAGAGTGGTGGCACCACACCTCAGAGGACCTAGAGTGTGAGCAGGGTCTTGGGGTAGTCTGAGCTTGAGGAAGGACAGATTGGAGAGGGTCTCCCAAGGGGGGGCCCTCTGCTCTGTGGGCTCCACCGGGCCCCTCACTGACCTCATCACCTGACTGCCCACCCCAGAACACCTCCCAGGACCTGCTTGGAGAGGCTCTGGCACAGCACATCCGCCAGCAGATCGACGCCCGGGGTGACCACCAACTCAGCCACTATAACCTGACCGGGGCCTGGGGCCACAGGATGGGCACGGCCCACGTGTCTGTGCTGGGGGAGGATGGCAGTGCCGTGGCTGCCACCAGCACCATCAACACTCCGTGCGTGTGCCCCGGAGGCATGAGGGCAGGCCCCACTCTTGCCCCCTAGACCTGAGTCTTCCTGTACCCACTTCCGTCCTCAGCCTGGTCTCCCAGCCTTAGGCCTCCCGTTGGTTGTCTTCATGGGGCAACACTTTGCTTTTCCCATTTGTCTTCCTCTCTGTCAAAAGGGGCTCTAACACCCCTGACATTTCTGGCTGAAAGGGCTGCTTGCTGATGGGTGGCCTTGAGCCAGGACCCACCCAGGGATGGGCCTTACCAAGAGGGACACCCTGATGGGGTTCATGGATGGATCTTTGGGGGCGGTACCACAGAGAGAATAAGGGCTCCAGCATGCTGGAGGGCAGCTGCTAAAACGAGGGAATCCTGGAAGCTGGCAAATGGGCGTCCGTGTCCCATGAGGGAGATGGAAGCTTGCAGCCTGAGCCCAGCCTTCACCTCCCCGTCTGCAGCTTTGGAGCGATGGTCTACTCACCGCGCACGGGCATCCTACTCAACAACGAACTCCTAGACCTATGCTGGAGGCAACCGCCAGGCTCCCATGTCATCCCCCCACCAGGTAAGTGTAGGGGGTCCCCCACTGAGGAGAGGCGGGAAGGCAGGCAAGGTGTGTGCCGCATGGTGTCCCCTGGGGCAACCACCCTTACTTGCCCAGCCATGGTTTGTGAGGTGGTGAATGGAGACAGAGGTGGAAGTGGGAGCCCGGTAGGGTGCTGGCTTGAAAATCAGCCTGCAGGTGATATCTGTCCGGCCTCCAGTTCCAGGTGAGCGGCCCCCATCATCCATGGTTCCTTCTATCTTGGTCAACGCAGCCCAGGGGTCAAAGTTGGTGATTGGCGGGGCTGGTGGAGACCTCATCATCTCTGCTGTGGCCCAAGTGAGTCTGGGGACTCCGGGTTGGGATGTCCCCTCTCTGAGCAGCCCTGTTGTTCTGCTTTCCTGGGAGCAGAGAAGGGCTGGTGTGGAGTGGCTGGTACACGCGCCCTCCCTCTTCCCTTTCTCCTTCCTTCCCTCCCTTTATCCTATGTCTCTCCCCCAGGCCATCGTGAACAAGCTGTGGCTTGGCTTTGACTTGCAAGCAGCCATTGCTGCCCCCATCTTGCATGTGAACGACAAGGGTCAGGTGGAGTACGAGTCCAATTTCAACGAGGTGAGGCCGTGGTCCGAGCCACCTGTAGGCTGGACACCTCAGTGCATGCTGGTCAAATCCTCCGGGGTGGATCTCAGCTACTGAATGTCTTAGGCCCAGCACACTTCAGCTTTGGGAGCCATCAGGAGTTGAGAAGCTCAGTGGGAGAAGCACCAGTCCAGTCTTGTGGCCTCCAAGGCAGAGAACAGGGTGTTGTCCATACTTCTCCCAGGCTGAGCACCTCAGCACCTTGGTCCCTGCTATGTCTGTGCTCTTCTCTCTACAAGTTAGTTTTCCTGGCTGTGGCCTCTCAGGCTCTCCTCATTAGAATCTGTTTCCTCATGTGATCTGCAGCTTTTATATGCAAGTTTATTTGTAAAAGAGTTTGTTATTTCCATGAGAGTTTGCAAAGGGATTGAGGAATTGGGGTTTCACTGGTGCTAGTTCTTATAAACATTTCTCAGTTGCCTCACACAAGCAGGTAGAGGAGCTGAATTCCGTCCCCCACTCACACCCCCGCCTCTGATGGTCAGCTTTCTCAGAGCTTCCCTGGGCTGATGCCTTTTGCTAAGACCTAATTCAAAAGACTGACAGCTTTTAAAGGCTCCTAGCTTCATATCTGGGTCCAGTTCATCCAGCTGGGTTCAAGGTCCTCAAAGCTGTCTTTCCTGTTATGATCCTCCCATGGCCCTTAAAACTCTAATGACAACTGAGTACAAGGCTTTGACTCCAAAGGAGGTGTGCCATCCCTGAGAACCTTGGTCTGTGGGCCTGGAGACTGAGGACCTCAAACTCTGGGAGCCCGAGGCCTTTCCTCTCTCTGTAAGGTCCACCCCATGGCAGTATGTCGAGTACTTCCCCAGGGCTCATCCTCTTAGGCCTGTCTCCTTGACCGTGACTGAAGGTCTTTACTCAAAGGACCTTGGACTTTATGGATTCAGAGATGACAGCCTGGAACCCAGCGACCCAAGATCCTCAGCTCTCTCAGAGTTAGAGTGTTAGCCATGCAGGTCTAGGCTGTTCTGTGGAGAAATTCCTAGATGCTGGGTAGAAACTGTGAGTCTCCAAGGTTCTTCACACAAAAGCCCAGGGACTGAGGCCAAGCAGGTCTTTGTTCCTCAGGACCTTGGAGTTTGGCTAGTTGACCATAAGGGACAGAGTCTCTGAGAACTGCAGGCCCTCTGTGTCCTTAGCAGTGAGGATTTTGGCCTTCAAATCTAAGGACATTGGGAAATACGTGTGTCAGGCAGAGAAAGTGTGGAGCCCTCTGGAGACCTCACCCTGTGAGCGGCTCAGGTCATATGGCCTCACCAGGTGATCTCAGGTCAGAGGCCCTGGTCTTGGGGACTATAATATACTGGGGTCTTTGTACCTAGAAGTCTGGAATCTAAGGCCCTGGTCAGCTAAGGTCCTTGGATTCTTGGTCCAAAATGATAACTGTAAATGTGGGGCCCAAGTAGCACAGGTCCCTACATTTCAAGATATGTGCCCCCTTACAGACCAGCAAATGTGTTGGCACCATAACCTTGAGGCAAGGTACTCAGTGTCTTAGAAACCAGCACCTGGGTCCCTGATGCCTTCAAATTCTACAGACTTAGTGTCTCAAACCTGAACATTTAGGGCCTGGTGTTCAGGGCACCTCACTCTTGGGGACCACTGGTGCCTTTAGCCAGGGGATCAATATCCTTGGACTTGTTGGCAATGGCAGAGCAAACTGTCAGAAGCTTTGTGTCTTTCTTCTAGCTGGTTCCTCAACCAATTGGGCCCTAAGCTTGCAGGGCCTCAAGCCCTGAGGAATTAAACTCCCATGTTCCTGGTGTCTAAGGTTTTGGGTTTTCTCATGTGGGTGTTGAGATGGAAGGTCCTATGCAGCACAACAGAGCTGGCATCAGGCCTTTCCTCCTCCGTGTCCCAGGGTCCCCAGAAATGGAGACCCCGAGGTGGGGGTGAGATGTCGAATTGGGCAGTTCTTATTTAAGCAGTACCTGGGACTCCAAAGGCCCAGCTTCTACCTTCTTGAAGGCTTTGCTTTCAAGGTCCTCAAAACTGAAGGCCTCTCAGCCTGAGTCTACCTTCTCCACTCACACCCCTGGATTCCTCAGGTGTTGT